AAGAGCAGCATGAAACTTGCTCAAACTAACAGAGAACTCTAGTAGATGGTCACATGTTTTGGAGTCTTCCTAAAGAAGCTCGTATAAATGCCATAGGTTCTCATCACAGCTAAACCCCTGGTGGTGGAAAATATGAGTGCCGGTCTTAATCACTGTAATGCAATAAACTCTTCACTAATGTTTATGCTGTGAACTCCATCACTTGCTTATGGTACAGAGATCAGAAGAACCAGCTATCACTTCAACCACATCTCATCAAAAAGTCTTCCTCTGAACTTCCCATGAAGAGAGTTCTATGGGCAGGGGAGGCAAGTTGTGATGGCATTCTGTACAAAGTTTAAGAAGCAGCACTCTGAACAAAAGTCTAGTCAACCCTCCTGCATTAAATGACCACAATTCGCAGCCATAATTAATTAAAAGATCAATAAAAAAGAAGGAGCCGTGATTCTCACAGAGCCAACAGTAGTATTCGCTCCTAGATAGGGCCATCTTTTTTTATCATTTTTTTTACTTAAAAAAAATTTAACATGAAAAGTAAAACAAACTTACCATCACAATTAACAAATGATAATATTTTACTATATTTGCTCCATATTTTTAAAATACAATGTGACAGATGCAGATTAAATCTCCTTTGTACCCCTCCCCCCCTTCTCTTCCTTCCCAAGCAGCAGCTGATGTAGCGAATTGAGTGTGGATCTTTCTACTCATACGTCTACACTATGTCACACAGTCATAAGCCAAATACAGTATTGTTTTGTGTGATTTTAAAATTTGTACTAAGAATATGTCATATTGTATGCATCACTGATTTTTTTTCAGCTAACATTGTGTTTTAGAAATTCATCCACATAGATTGTAGATCCAGTTCATTTGTTTCAGCTTTTATAGTCTATCAAAGTCATACTACATTTTATCCAGTCTCTTTTTGAAAGCCATCGAGGTGGTTTCTAATTTTTGTTATTACAAACAGTGCTACAATAAACATCTTACGGCTATCTTCTTATGCACAGGTCCAAGAGATAATGTATAGAGTGTGTCACTAGGAGTTCAATGCTGGGTTTTAATTTTACTACATGGTGCCAAATTTGTTCTCTAAATGGGGTAGTTTTTATTTCTCCTCATTTTCATCCCCCTTGTACTGTTAGACTGTTTAATGTTTGCTGGTATAATAAGCATGAAATGGTGTTTCACAGTCATTCTAACCTGCCTGTCCCAGATGACCACTGAAGTTAAACATCTTTTTATGTGTTGACTATTAGACCTCTCCTCTTCTGCTTTCTAAAATGCCACAAAAAAGATATTTAGTACATGGATAATATTAATGTACTAGGAGTTCTAGGGTTTGAAAAATAAAGTTGGGGTTATTAAAAGTTCACATAAAAATAATGCATTTTAGAACACCAGGATACTGTACCTCAAGACGCAGCTTCACAGCATAACACCACAATCTTGCTGGTGAAACTCACGCTTGATACAGGCTACATACATGTTTCTACTAGTTAGCAGATGTTTTATTTTTGTGCAAATTATACTCTAGCCTATGACTCATGATCCTGAGAAAAATGATGGATCTGGAGTCTCTGGCTTAGAACAAAGAAAAAAGGTCCATGTTTTGTTTATACCTAAAGGAATTAAGAAGCAACAAATTGGATTCCAGCCTTCCTCCTCCAGATAGCCTGGAAAATAATCATTCACGTATACAAACTTTACAACATAGTGATGATGGCATAAACTTAGAATAATCATCAGAAGAAAAAAATGATTATAAATTAAATAGAATTATCCATATTTAAATGCTACACTTATCCATATTTAAATACCTCTGACCCTAGGGAGAGCAAGCATATTTTGATGGCAAATTTTTTTCTAGTTATAAAACTATAAATTTCATTGCTTGTTCAGAAGTCAACCATTTTTATATAAAGCAATCTTTTCCTTTAAGTTTTTGTTTATGTACATTAAAAAAACCCCATCAGCTATTATCAGAGTATTTGCATGTTACCATGCTGAAGAAAGATCTACAAAATCTGCATCTATTCTATTTATGTATCTCAAAGTTAACCACTATGGAGATGGCAAATGCAGTGTTTGCAAGGAACGTGAGGGTAATAAGTCTCCCAGGCAAAGGAAATTGGAGATTGAGGTAACTCCTGCAGATCTACACGAATCAATAATTCAAGAAAGCAGTTAACCTAAAGACCTTTAAAGTTGGCTTTGGGATGTGGTTTTGTCCTCTTAGTTTGAACTTGGATGTGTCTGAAGTAAAGGGAATTAAAATCATTTAAAAATATAATAATCATCCCAGAAGAAGAACTATGTAAAAGGATATATAAAGTTTTCATCTCTCTCCCTCTAGCTGTGTGCCTCTCAGCTGGGGTTAGTCATGATCGTAGTGGAGAGGCAAAAAGGCTTCTGCTGAAGCAGAGCCTCCCTCTCTCTGGCAGTGTGGCTCTGCAGTTGGCCTGTACTTCCCATGGGCTATGGTAAGAAAAGTCCTTGATTTTAAAAGCACATAAACATTAACCTCCTTCAACTTAGCTCTGGGAAAAAGGCTTCTTATTTTTCCCTCTGTTGGGAGAAGCACTTCTGACCCCAAGAATAATGAAAACATCCCTGGTCCAACTGTATAACAGGACTCCCCAATACTGCACAGGCCAGCTTCCCTAGCCCCAAACATCTCCAACAACAGACTTGGTAGCAAGGTCTTTGGGGAGCTCCACTTTTATACCCAGGATATCTCTGGGTAGCTCTACAGCCACTGCATTCTGGGTCTCACTGGGGCAGTGCAGTCCCCATAAACATGTAGCAGCTGTAAAGGATTCATTTTTGCTGGGACTGGGGCCTCTCCTCCACGGGTATAGGCCCAGCTGCAGGGTACCACTCCCAGCCCCCACCCAAACCTACAAGATAAACAATCCCTCATTCCAAACTTTTAAAGCCTGATCCTTGAACAGCAAATACCGATGTGTCAGCCAAGGTTCAGTCATGGTCATGGGCTTGGAAGTCTTTTGGTTCCAAACTCTAACCACCTGGGTCAACCATAAACAATAGTAAGTGAGGGGAACTCAACAGTTCCTAAACTGGCTTGGCACCCACAGCACAATGGTTATGGCGCCAACCACATACACCAAAGGTGGCAGGTTCAAACCCAGCCTGGGCCAGCTAAACAACAATGACAACTGCAACAGAAAAATAGCCTGGTGTTGTAGTGGGCGCCTGTAGTCCCAGCTACTCAGGAGGCTGAGGTAGGAGAATCGCTTAAGGCCAAGAGTTTGAGGTTGCTGTGAGCTGTGATGCCATAGCACTCTACCTAGGGCAACACAGTGAGACTCTGTCTCAAAAAAAAAAAAAAAAAAAAAAAAAACCAGGTCCTAAACCTATAACACTGGCCTTTTTAGTACCACATTCCATTCAAGACAAACATACTCCAAGTTGGTGAATCCCTGGCTAGACAAGTAAGAAGATAGCACTGGAAGTGGAGAGAGGTGGGGAGCTGGGATTGCTCAGAGTGGGGAGTGTGGTCCTGGAATTCATGATTAGAACAGAAAAAGTGTTTTCTCAAGGGAACTGTTACAATTAAAATTCAGGCATCCTGCCTACAATTCTATTTTCTCTGTAATAAATACTTCTAGTATTTATATGACTTAGCCTGAACATTTTTTCTCCCTAGGGAAAGTGCTTTTAAATGCAAAACATCTGATATAAAAGCAAGAGCAAAAAAAATAGGGGAAAAAATAGAGCTAAAACAACAAACTGAAAAACAGTTCATAATACTGCATATTTGTGAACTAAGAACTGTTCTGCTAGTCCAGTGCTTCCACCATTCTGTCTGGCTGGTGATGAAGTCAACCAAACTTTTCAACATTTAATCAGTAAGTCAACTGCTATCTCCCCCGGCTTCCTGTTGAGCCATTGCCTTATGCAAAAGGTTTAAGCAACATGTAGGCCGGTGGTTTTATCTACAACCGCCCTTGACTTCCCATGGAATAACTACCATCACAAGTCAAGTGCATTACTTGTTTAACCGTCTGTCTGCCTCACCCACCCCACTAGCAGTAAGCTTCATGAGGGCAGGGATTTCCATTTGGCCACTGCAGCCGGTGTTCAGCACTTCCTAGGCACTCAAACGGACCGACAGAAGGGATGGGTAAAACGGGTGGTTCGTAATAGATACCAACAAAAGATTTGTGAATGAAGTGCCTTTAGAACATGGAGAAAAGTAACGGATCTCAAATGAGCCGTTTATGTCGGCGCAGAAGGACTAACTCTTGCCTGGCAAAGATAATTCCCAGGGACCTTTCACGTACGGTACCCACATCTTTAGGTTGAGGTGTGCAAGTAGGTTCTGGGAATTCTGTACAATGAGAAAGTGATTCCATTTGATAACCACACATTGTAGATGGAACTATTCCGTTTATAAAAGGTCTCAACCCAAGGCTAGCCACAGGGCTTAATGACCCAGCAGAACTTAAACCGCAGAGAAATCCCCTGCATTGAAAGCCCCTGGAACAGGAAGCCCCTCAAACCCACGCAAAGGCGGTAAGCAGGTACTCAGAGCTCAAGGAGGAGTCCTAGATGGACCTTTTGTCTGCAGATAATCAGGGCCGTCTCAGCGCCCTAGATTCTAAGGTGACAGTGCCACAGGTTGGGTAACAATTCCCTTTCAAATTGGCAGCATAGTTGAGGTAGCCGCAGCGTATTACAGGTAACGCATTTTGCATCCTTGCTAACGAGCACATCGGATGAAGTAGCTGTGCCCACACACTCCTTCTGCCACTCAAGGTGGCGGGGTGAGGGGACCCGGCAGAACCGGAGAGGCTCCGAGCCGCCGGCGACCTTGGCACTGACGGGGCCCAGGCCACCGCACGGCTCCTGGCCCTGCAGACTCCGGCGCTCGCCACACCTGGGGTGTTTGCGGAGCCGGGTCTCGGCCCGGCGGTCCGGGAGGCCCTGAGGATGGGGAGCGGGGCTGCCCTGGCGGGGCGGCGGGGACTCACCTGCAGCAGCACGGCCAGCAGGAAGCACAAGTACATCTGGTAGATGCCCATCTCCCCCACGGCCTGGAACGCCTCCTCCA